TAATAAATAATAAATAAATAAATAAATAATAAATAAATAAATAAATAAATAAATAAATAAATAAATAAATAAATAAATAAATAAATAAATAAATAAATAAATAAATAAATAAATAAATAAATAAATAAATAAATAAATAAATAAATAAATAAATAAATAAATAAATAAATAAATAAATAAATAAATAAATAAATAAATAAATAAATAAATAAATAAATAAATAAATAAATAAATAAATAAATAAATAAATAAATAAATAAATAAATAAATTAATTAATTAATTAATTAATTAATTAATTAATTAATTAATTAATTTTGTGCTCACTAATAACCTAATTTGCATAAATCAACAAATACCACTAATCAAAATTTCAATATTTATTTGAACGATCCACAGATCTGAAGACTTCAAGATTTAAATTAATGCCAATTAGTTACCTAATTTGTATAAATGAGCTCATAAATATGCATATCTGTAATATTTTAAGCAGTGTTGCAGATTAGGGCATACAGCTCGTGTTATAATTGTATATGTCTGAAATAATTAAATGCTGTATGTGTTTTATTAGAAGCACATGTACTTAAATGACAAAGGCAACTCAAAATGAGACATATTTCAATGATATTGCATGCAATAAATGTAATTTTTTTATATGTTTTGAAGATGTGCTTCTAAAATAGTAAACACAGTATTCCTCATTTGTACTTCATGTCTACAGTACCCTCAGAAGTTCATTCCAAGCTTTCTTTGACATTACAGGGTGTATGTTGATTACAACAATCAGGTTATAATCTTTGGTATACAAAAATGTATAATACAAAGTTTGAATGCAACCTTTTCACCACCAATCTCTCTTTTCATCACAAATTCACAAAATAGTCCCGTTTATGGTCTGCACTTTCTTTCAGAAGATTGAGAACAAAATAGCAAAAGTTTTGAGTAAAAACTGAAAACTGACTCAAATTTTATCTGTTGACTTCAAAATTAGGGTTCATTTCCAGAAATAAGAGTATAAAAAAAAAAAAAGCTGAACAATTCAGGTGAAAAAGTCTGGTGGTGAGAAGGCTAAACTTTCTTTGAATTATTTTATCTTGCTAGGGTCCAGTTGGTCCACCTGGTGCCCAAGGAGAAGATGGAGAACAAGGAGCTCTGGTGAGTTTGTGTTTAGTCCTTAGATGCATTGCATTCCATCTGTCTGTCAATAGACAGGTTTTGAGTTACCAGACATGTACCATGGTTGCCATGTTACTGAATGTGTTCGTGACAGAAAGGAGGGGTGTTTTTACAGTTTTTTGTATGTTGAATATACATGCTTGTTTGTTACCCTCCCCTAGAAATAGTTTACACATGTATGAATATCATAGAATTATGTATTTTGTTATTATATGGAACTGTAGAGGGCGCAAAATAATGCTTGAGGGCGCTACTACAGAGCTTAGTTTTTTAGATTAAACATCTGTACTTTTTTTACTCATAA